TTAATAAAAATAGATAAAATAAATAAATAAATGGTTACTGGTGTGTTTCTATATATATATATATATATATATATATAGAGAGAGAGAGAGAGAGAGAGAGAGAGGTTGGTTATTATACAACCTTCACATTTGTGCAACCAATACAACCCAATCTCAACCGTCCATTTCATTTGATTAATATGTGATTTCATAGAAGTTTTTAATGTTTCATAATATAAAATATTGATCATAATTAATGAACCATATTCATTTTCCATAAATATTCAAATCATAATAAATGAATTCTCATCATTTCCATAAATATTTCAACTTTTTGGGTTGCATTGGTTGTACAAATGCGATGAGTTGTATTTGAAACAAACTCTCTCTCTCTCTCTCTATATATATATATATATATATATATATAAATGTGGATGATCAAATGCAAACCAAGTCATTTATAAAAGCTGTACAAACCGCATTTAACCAATCATAATTTTTCTTTTTCTTTTTTAATTATAAGGGTTGAATAGTCATTTTTATTTTGGAGAACATTAATTGTGGACATTATCATCTTCATTATATTAATTTTAGAATTTTTTTTATCAAAAATTATGAAACAATTTTATTTTTACATGAAAACAAAATTATACGAAACAATTTTATGAAAACAATTTTACTAAATTAAAAAATAAAATCGATAGTTTGTATGGTTTGTACAATGGCTTGGTTTGCATTTGATTCCTCCCATATGTGTGTGTATATATATATATATATATAGAGAGAGAGAGAGAGAGAGAGTAAGGTTCAAACAAGGACACTAACTATTTAAGAAAAAAGAAAAATGTTGTTACTGTACAAAATCACATGTGATTTTACATAACTGGAAGCAGACGACTTTTGATGCCACTTAAGTCGCAGGCTAAGTCGTCCGGATCATGTATGATTTTGTACGTGAATCATATATGATTTTGTACATTAACAACATTTTTCTTATTTTTCTAAATAGTTAGCATTATCGTTTGATATATATATATATATATATATATATATATATATATATAGGGAGGTTCAAGGGAAAATTTCAAATAAACGAAAAAACTAAGGACATGTGCATAATAGACAAATTGATTACAATTACCGGTATGACATGTGCATACCCTCCAGATTAACGTTTACAATTTTCCACTGAACGTGACCCTATTCATATATATGTTATATATATATATATGTGATGTGATTGTGCATATGTATCAATATGAACATCTATTACCTTTGATATGTGTTCATTTAAACGAATTCAAATGTCATACTAATCACTTACCAATAGGAACGCTTTGATCATTTTCTTCATTATCGGAATTCAAATTCCGAATGTAGTCATAGACGATTTTAACTTTGTCATTTCCATTGTTGTCGATCTGTTTTACAATATGTTTAT